AATTTTTGTGGTATATAGAAAGTAGCGCTGTAGCATGAAAAAATGAATTATTTAATATAGTTGTTCTGTAATTGCAAGAGATGCGGGACTTCATGTTTAACAAGTTTTCGTTACAGCTTCAAAACATTAAGCATTAGGGACAGAGCTTATAATGTTTCTCCCAACAATACAGATTTGACTAATCAAATAGTCTGCAAGCTTCGAAATGAAAATATCTGGTATTGCGTAAAAGATCTCTTCTCCTTCTCTCGCTTCTCAGCGAACCGATGCCCTTCAAACTGAACTGGTTAACTGTTTTACTAGTATCTTTAGTAGCTGGTAAATCATAGAAATTTCAGAATGTCAACTTTCCTCAAGGATCCTCAAATTATAGAGTATCAAACTCCCGACTTTTACCATACGTTTATTATAAATGTTGCCGTTTTTGCCCTCAACCAAGATGGCGACAGAAACCATGAAACGGTCTATTAAGTTAACGATCAAGACAAGCAAACTAGCTGAAATAGTTTCGAAGAACATAATTTATATCAGTTCATGTATAAACCAAATATAAAACTTACCGAACGTGCTCGCGTAGCTTCACCACACCTCCCCACTGACTGGAATCGACGCAGCATCGAAACTTATTTTTTTTAATAAAGTCATCGCCTTTGGCACCAGCGTGCCGGAGTAGAAAAAGGCTGCACACTCGATAGTTATAGTTTCCATTTTGCAATTTAGACAATTTACACGAACGCATTTACAGATCTTGTCAGGTCACTTAGCATTACCGCCATTACCTGAACCATGTGTCAACATGCAGGAATCATGCACAAGGTTGTATAGGTTGTCTATACTAGAATACATGTATATAGGTTGGGTCACGAGAAAGTCTCTTCGAAAAAACACCAGCACATTGACCAAGGCCGACCAAAAATTGATGATCCGATCCACAATCCGAACTTCTAGACTGACAGAATCCGGAAACCGGGCCAAAACTTTCAGCTGACCCGCGATCCACGGTATTTTTCAAATCCGCGAATCCGCTCGATTTATCGCCGAAATCCACAATCCGTGAGCTTTATTAGGCCAAATCCGCCGATCCGCGGACCTATTCACCCCCCTCATTAAAGCAGACAAGAACGCTTTGATTCTCCTTTTACCTTCTGGTGCAATTACCTTGAGACACGAGATTACGTGTTTTCGAACTCTCGTGCACTGCTTTACTGGAAATGTTAGGTAATATCAAGATAACGCTAAGTGTGAAAATGTTTTACCTAAGAAACCCATGAAAGGGGTTACTTATGTCAAGTTGAAATCTGGAATATTCGGCGACAAAGTCCACACTCAAACACGCCATATGCCATATGGTAACATCCACCGTAAATAGCTTATATGATGCCTACCCTTGATGTTTCCCCCAGTGTGAAAACAATTTAGAATAAGGAAAACACGAACAAAACAAGACTATAAAAGCCAAAAGTTTTCAAAGCTTACGTTTAATTTTACTGTTCCAACAAACGCGAATACATTGTTCTAAAATTTATTAGGCGCTCATTATTTGTGCCAAAAAAGAACTAGGATTTCCTCAGGAGACCACGCAACTATCGCGACAAAATAGGTGCAACATAACGAATAGAATATTAAAGACAGTGTGAAGTGTATAAAGGGGAAGAACGAAAATTTCTCGTGCTTTAATGAAAAGGTTGAAATAAGTGTTCACCTCTGTTGTAAAAAAAAAGGTTTCTTAATTTGAACTACAAAATAATAAGCGCCCATTTACTTTTAATACAAGTTGGGAGACGCGTAGGGTTACGTGGAAGGGATATGTCAAAGCCACGGGTAACAGCTACCAACTGTAACGGTGAGAGAATGCAGGACATGTTCCGCTATTGTGTTTTCCAAACCGCATGGATAAAAAGAGACACGCTTGTTGTCCACAGTCTGCTCATCTTTTGATTCTTATGCACAAAAATGTTGCGTAACCGCACAGCATGGTTAACGACCTTTTTTTGGTAACCTTTTTTTCTTAAGAAATGCTTGGGTAAACTGGACTTGTTACTGCAATATACCCCTATGACATGTCCATTCTACTTTACCCACGTGTAATAATAACAATTATTACTATTATTAATAAAAACGTAATGCAAAATTAAAATTATTAACGTTCAACTGGAAGGCAATGTGCTAAAATTCCATTACAAAAAAATCAACGCCGGCTACCACTAAAGATAGCTCGAAAACGAACGTAGTTTTTAAACATCTAAAACACTCTTTCCCTAATTCCATACACGGTTAAATATCGACACGTTAAATATGTCTTAAATATCAAGTATAGCGGTTATACATTAAGTCATATTAAACCATAAAACAGCCCACCTGCAAGAGTCTGTTCTAAGACATAACCCGGTAACTATACACAGATATGTTCTTTGGAGCGGACAGGCTATGTTTGGCTAACCAACATTCTCGTCACCCTCCGTTCTTAGCAGCTGAGATAAAACGAACCCTTACTAGACCAAATAATAACTACCAAAACTTTTTCAACACTCTCAAACTAAGTTATGAATCTTTCAGGGGCTAATTTGTAATTACGTTTTAACAAGGCGTCCCCTGTGTACGCTTTGTTAGCTTTAAAGTCGAGGGAGAATGGCTTTTATTCTTCCATGAAGACTTGCGTTGCAAATTGAGGTAATTTGAATGAATTGCCGTTTCCAGGCAATCTTACCCTTTCGAAATCAATAACCGAGAGCTTATGAACCACTAGGGAGGCTCATACGATGGTAGATTATTAAAGGTTTTTTAACAAGACGGGATCACCGTCTTTACTAGTTTCCTCTCTTGGTGAGCACAAAAGACCTCGAGCCGTAAAAGTGTTTTTTGAATGATGAAAAAATGCAATGGTAAGATCAAGGTTCATAACTCGATCCTTCCATTTGACGCATCACGCGTTCACAACTACGCCACCACGCATATACACAATTAACAGAGATATTGGTTTTTCATATCCTTGGTGACAATGGATACAAACTGCTTTTCTGGTTTTACTGCGTGATAGCCTTGGACAGAATGAAACGGTGAAAGGAAAATATATGGTAGAATCTACATGCTATAAGTCGGGATATCTAGAAAAATACTTGGTCCTAAGCTAGAAAAATATCTAAAACTGGAGGGAACGAACATTTTAAATACATTCGCCCGAAGTATGTTTTTTACGAGTTAAATTTGTCGGCGGGACTGTCATACTTTATTACTCAACTGATCGACGTTAACTATGCCTTGTATTTAATGACAAGACCCGCTTGTCTTTATACTACTTTCCCTAACGATTTACGTGGTAAACAATTTATTCTACAAGGTACGATTTATAAACAAATGGAATACTAATAATTTAAAAGGTTTCCCTTTTTACGCAATTATTAAATTTTTATTACTTTGTACTATTCAACGAGTCACAATTCGAAAATGCACTGAGAAAATGATTGCTTGCTAATATGATTTGCATTCTATTTATGATGATTAATTTTGTTTCTCCCCACCCCAACCCTAAACATTTTGATACTAGGTATCAGTGTTTTCTGCTAAAAAGCACATATAACAGGGTCCAGTTATTCTACGTATCCACTGGATAGAGATTTATCTAGTGGAAGCGTCACCTAACTGAACAACTGGGGCAGAACATTACACAACTATCCACACTGAAAGGGTAAGTCACGCCTATTCAAGAGCAACGGAGCAGTGAACTTAAATCGAGAAACAAAACAATGCATACCAACAGTGTGTGCATCTAAGGGCAAACACACGCATACGTATAAACCACACAAAAAATAAATGTTCCCATAGCTTGGTAAGAAAAAAGCCTTGAGAAGTAACAGGAGGACAAAGTTGATTAGACGGAAATACTCTTAAGTGGCGTGATCTACTCCTTCTGACCCTTTAAAAGGACCTTAAATTACTGACAAATAACGAAAAGATACTAGACAAATCGCACAGTTTGTTTAGACGCTATGGTAACGGTTTATGTCTTTGGGTCGGCAAACAGGAAACCGTTACCGAAAAAACACACGATCCTTTTGCCTGAAGGTATACAGCCATTCTTGGCGAAGGGTCGTTGTTGTGGTTCACTGCAAGGATAAGAAAGACAAAAGTACATCAGTATCGTAACGGCAAAACACAACTAGGGCATAATCCTTATACTTATATTAGACTACACGCTATGTAATTTTCGACGTCAAGTAAATAAAAACGCCGTGATCAAAAAAGACGTCGTTTAGTCATCCAGGCAATCTGCTATCTAATACCTAACCGCACAAAATGGACGAGTGTCTAATGGCCATGTCGAAAAAGTGCAAAAATAGTTGTTATCGGTAATGTCAATGGGGACGTGTACAACTTAAACTGTTATTTTTCTAGTTGTAATCAATGGAGGGGTCTACTTCCGAAAGACACTAGCGGTGCAGTGGCCGTCGGGGAGTGAAACACAGAAATTAGTTGTTATCAGTTGGGTTGATGGAGTCAACTACCCACCGGAGAAAGATTCAGAAGTTGAGTTTACTCTGTCAAAAGCGAATCAAGGGATTAAATAGTTCGTGTGGCTTTATAATTATGTGGAATAGCGGACCTACGCTATCGGTGGGAACATGGAAACATGAATAACACGACTAAACAAGGTCACGATTAGCGCGCTTATTGATTTCTGAGTACAATGTAGCAGGTTTGAGCTGCGTTGAAGGGAAGCGTTCAGTTGTACAGTGCAGGCTTGCTGTGCCATTGCTGCAAACACTGCTAATAAGTGTGTGCAGAAACGAAAAGCCCACCAAAAAAATACAACTAACGAAAAGCCAAGAAACATAGGCTCCCGTGTCAGGTAAACAAAGCAGTGGGGACATATGTCTTACCATTCTCTTCTAAAATCAAATTGAAACTACAAATTGTTGACTTGTTTGTTCTTCAGGGCTATCGGCATATTCAAGAGGGGGGTACAAGCCAGATGCTGGCTCAGCGTTTTCAACTTCACCGCCATCATCATCCTTATCATCTTGCTTCGTCACTGCAACTTGTTCCTCTTGTGGTGTTTCCTCTTCATTTGTATCAACAGGTCCCTGTAAGAATTGCGTTATTTCTGCATAGGGCGTTTCTTCGTAGGCAGGGGGCCGTTTTACTGGCCCCGTAGGGGCCGCTGACTTTTGATGAAATTCCCCAAGGTCAGCATATGTCCCTTCCCCGGGTTGGGCTTTCTGTTGATGGAATAAAGTTGAACTAAAATGACCACTCGCGTGTTACACTATACAAGATGTCTTGCAAGGGTAACAAGAGGCAAGTTAGACTAGGCATATCAACAACTAATTGACAACCGTGAGACAAACTATAAATGAACCGTTTATACACATACCACGATAAATAATATCTTTCATAACTTAGACTAAGTAGTTGGGAAAATTACCGGTGAGATTAGAGGTTATACAGCGGCGGTTTTAGTCAGTGACAGCAATGTCACACATTGGTCAATGCTGTGTAAAACGGAAGCAAGACAAGTCGCAAAGGGTAACACTAAAAAACGAATAGCATTAGTTCAACTCCAAAAAATGCCTGCTCCTTGGTGTCTTTATCCTTTGATACTTCCCAAAGCTGGCCAAAATAAAGATCAGCATCATTCTTTTTTTAACGAGAACGTTATAAACTGCAATGTCAATTAGCATCAGATAAAACTTGTTACGTAACGAGCGTAATTTACGATTGCGGCTGGTTTTTTTTTCAAACTCTTGAACAACAGGTATAATGGTAAAACACAATTTTAAAGGTTTCATAAAAATGACCCACGGTCCTTATTTCTTTTTGTTGCTGTTGTTGTTGTTGTTGTTGTTGTTGTTAGTGCTTAAATCTATCGACACTCACCAAAGAGCAGTCCATTTTTTTGCGGGGTTTTGAAAAAAGGCATTATAAAGAAAACAAAAACAATGCGTATGAAACGATGGATTTCCTTTTATTGACATTTCCGTATTCTTTTATTTATGTTCTTATGCTATCTACTATACTGCATCATAACAAGGTATCTTTTTATCATTTAGAACTGTTTTAACCTCTACTATAATCAAGCAGAAAGTTTACATTTTCATATGGAGGTTCTTTAACCAAGTTGTCATTTGTTGGTTATAAGTTTAAAATCACAAGTTTAATTCTCTGCTTTAAGTTTTAACAGGATTTGAGTGTAATGTTTACATAAGAGGTGTTAGGATAGTAAATAATAAAATTTACAGAGGAATGTTAACAGAGGTATTCAAAGAATTTGTTGTATGATTTACCATTCTACTTTAACGAGCCGTATCTCGAGTAACTCTTCCATTTGGTTAAGACGGAATCCAGTCAACTTTTCCAGTTTGCTTCTTTCGCCTGGTGATGATTGCCAGCAGAATCCTTTCCAAAGGCAGATGAGAGACATCTTTGGGATACTTGGATTTACAACCAGAGTTTGTATATAACTTCAATATATCTCAAAGATTCCTCTTTTCAAGCGACGCTTACATTCTGGTCAGCACCTCTACTACGCCATTATTACCGGTTGCTATAAACGACTCTTCCTATTGCCTGCGTGCAGACGTCTCCTATTTCCTTTGTTGCACGCGGAAAAGGGACGTCTGCCTAACGCCGTCGCTAATCGTGTTCCAGCGTCCCGCTGGCAGGGTATTCTATTTCGAATAAATTGTGAAATAATATCCGGTTAGAAATAAGAGTTGACAGGCCAAACAAAACATCGGGCGAAACGTGACCTTGAGAGTCTGCTTGAACAGAGGTTTTTCTTCATTTCTCTCTCGCGCGAAGATTACTAGCACTAATTACTAGTGCATGTAGCATTCTAACCTTTGACTGAGTAAATCTCATTTTTGCCGCGCTATGTCTTACATTTTGAGGTCATGAAGTAGGTTTGTTACATGCATACTGAGTAATCATTTCCTGTGGTTTATGCTTCTGTGGGTGTTCCCGATAGGATTTGATTTCAGATGCAGTTGTAAAGTGTTTAAATTTTCTTGACCTCTGTTTGTTACGGCTAAATAAAGATTTTAGTTTCTTTGGCTGGCTTTCTCCGAAATGCCTTCCTGGTGCGAAGTCCACGCCGCTTTTGTAGTTTTCTCAGACACTGTTTACAAATATGATGTGATGTGTCATGCACAGTAAATTGTAAAGAAATAATTTCTCGTACACGTAAAATTTTCCGCGTCCCCGGACAAGATTTCGATCGCTCTGCTTTTCGATCGACGAAAAACACAGCACACAATCGCACATGTTTTGATTTGTTTTGGTTAGAAAACCCCGCTTACATAAATCATTTAAATCACCGCATACATTATCAGACCACATTCGATAACAACCAATCAGCGTTAAGTCAAACAATGCGCACTGTGTGTCAGCCTATCGCAGATGTTCCCAAGATCTTGGGAACCCAGCAGGACGCTGGAACACGATTATCGACGGCGTTACGCAGACGTCCCTTTTCCGCGTGCAACAAAGGAAATAGGAGACGTCTGCACGCAGGCAACTCTTCCTATTGTATTTAGGCACTTTTTGGAGCATTTATTCATTGTTACGTGAAACCAAAGAGTGGTTTTGTTAAAAACGGTGAAGTTGTAACAACATCAGTTACTGTCAACCAAGTAAGTTAAGGAATCGCATCAATATCGCGGTTGAAATGGCTGCCAATCTCTTTGAATTGACCTCACGTTTTGCCAGGCTACTTTTCAAAATTAATAACGCACATTGCTATGATGATAATTTGTTTAGCGAAGCGCATGAAAAAAAAAAGGTGACAAAAGTGGGTGTTTCTTGATAATGCAGAAACCACTATTGGTTTGCTTTGTGTTTTGTCTTGTTCACCGTCTTTTCCCAGTCAGTCTTTTGTATTACGTCACTTGGTGATTGCATCCGTCCGCAACACCAAGAAACTATCCAAAAAGTGAAAAAGTAAAAAGTGACAATTTGTGGCATTGCACCATTTAATTTACTTAAGTAAATATAAGGGAACTTATCATAAACAACTTTCAACGACTTTTACCATATTAGATCTCCACCTAATCAGAGTACTTATAGGGTTGTTTAACTTTTACCATGAACATCACTCTATAGATCACAAAACACGGGTTGCATTTGTTCAATTTTATATGTCAAAGGTAGGTTTAGTCTCATTATGTTATTTTCTTTCATCCTAATTTTGTGCTCATAAAGTGCTTAACAGCTAGCTTTCAGGGACTTGAGCTTTGCATGTTAATTGTTTAGATCAGTCATCATTGAGGTTATTAATTGGATAAGATTAAACAACATTTCCTTTTAGCAGGTAGAGAAATTAAGCAACATGAATCACGACAGTAATAAATCAGAAACCTTAATCGTCATTAGGTTTAATAAACAACTTAGTGGTGAGTTTTACGTTAGAATTAGGGTTTACCTGGTAACAAAAACACTGTATGAGAATATTTTAAGATGTAGGACCACTAAGTGAAAGAAGGCTTATCAAGACATTATAAAAAACTGTTTGGAAACTGAATTAATGCGGTACTTGTTTATAAGGTTATCAAATGACGCACAGTAAGGTTAGTACAATTATTGTTCCGTTAACAGGTGAAGGTTTCTTATATTTTCTAAAGGTTAGTAACTGACAAATGTAACACAAGAAGCGTAAGAATCAGAAGGGATAAGAGAAAAGGCAAGCAGGTATTGCTGTAGCTGTGCTATTGGTTAAGTTCATTATTCACGAACGAATGCTGCACGAACGGTACTTGTTTATGAGGTTATCAAATGACGCACAGTGAGGTAAGTACAATTATTGTTCCGTTAAAAGGTGAAGGTTTCTTATAATTAATAAAGGTTAGTAACTGACAAATGTAACACAAGAAGTGTAAGAATTAGAAGGAATAAGAGAAAAGGCAACCAGGTATTGCTGTAGTTGTTCTGTTGGTTAAGTTCATTATTCACGAACGAATGCTGCAAAGGTTAAATCCCACAGACAGTGAATACCCTCTCGAGTGAAGAGTGAAGGAACTGTTAGGTATTAGAAATTTCGTGATAAAGTTATGGATGTGCCCTAAACATGCGACTGGCCCCACATTTTTAAATAAAAACTGCAGTGAAAGGTTTCAGTTTTGCTTTTTGTGCAGATATCTTCGATCTCGACAAATTCTGGCACTTGAGAAGGTGTTCATGGACCGTACAAGCTGTTTAAGGGGCTGTGTCACGGCTGTATGGTTCATTTTATTAATAATGCCCATTACGACTAGAAATGGAGCTTAAGAATTTACTTGTTTCCCAAGGATTACATTTTACGTCACAAAAACCAAATGAAGCCTGAAAAACTGTAAGGCTACTTAAGTCTTCAAAAGCCACAACTGCAATCGGTTTCAATCTTCTTCAGATTTTGTCCATCCGTGCCTCCTTTTGTATTTAATCTGTTATTTATACCTTCTTTTCATATTTTGGGCAGTAGTTACTTTTATGTTACACTCAGTTATGGTAGCATTTCCCACTGTTTTAATTTTGATAAATTTTGTGACACAGATCCTTTAAAGAGCTTCACATTCAAATTGAAAAAAAACTGAGTCTTACCTTTGTGACACTCGAATCGTTGACTGCTATGCCTGGTGTTTGCGCAGGGTTTGGAGTGAACGTCACCATAGGGGTTGCATCTGGTCTTTCCTGGTCATAACCTTTATTCTCATTGCCATAGTACGTTTTGCCATTAGAATAATTTCTGTCACCAGTCCCACCACGCCTAACAACCAAATAAGGATACAGGCATGTTGTTATGCGACATATCCTCGTATATTTAACTGAAACTTCACCTCAGTTTTCTTTTCTTTTTTTAGGGGGGAGGGGGGAGGGGAGCGGGAATGGGGTAGTGACCAAAACAATTCGAACAAGTGGAATTTATTACAGGGAAAAAAAGCGCTTTCATTTATTAACGACTGTGAAAACTAAGCTACTGAAATACTGTTTTGGTAGGGAAGTAAGACACTAACGGCGCTTACCAGAAGTTGCAACTGGCCAGCATGACTTGGCATTTTGAATGTAAAATGTTAGATTTTTCTCGAAATTTTCCGTAAAACCCACCACTGGCGAACAGACCATTCTAAGAATAGACTGAGCTGGCTGGACAGTCGCTATTAATAGTGGAAGCCTCATTACAACTGGACTGGTCTGGCCAGCCAGTCCTAACAAACGGAAAGCAATGTAAGATATCATTTTCACTAAGTCTTTCACTACGGTCAATGTACTTGGTGTTACGTGTTGTGTTAGAGCGTTTGCTTGAGTAGTTCGCGTAACACTCCGAAAATCTTTCAATTTTCATATGAATTTGCTTCAGTGAAGATCATGTAAACCGATTACTTCCAGCCACATTCAAGGTTATATGAAGTATTTGACTACTTCAAATTAGAGGTATTTAATGTTACTATTTTTGTAGAACAGTGTGTATATGAAGCAACTCGAAAGAATGGTAGAACCACCTTTGATTACTAGAAACAGTACAAAAGGAAAAATTTCTTACCCTTCTGGATCATGTCTCTGTGCGTATTCACCTATAAGATTAATAAGACACGTTAAAATCAATGGGAAGCAAAGAATGTTGAGAGGACTGTGCCTCGGTCATTTCATTTTTTGTTTGATTAGGCTATGAAGTATAAGGTTAGCAAAGAAATTACTTCTACTCAAGTAAAAGGACCAACAGACGGCTGCCTGATGGACACATTTCTGGACTGAAAGCTGTAGAAACACGACTTAGATCTTTTAAGTGCATTAAGTTTTCATTTTCAGGCAAACTGTACAAAGATGTTTGAAATCTTTTGCTTATTTTGCACTAGACAAAGATAAAAAGTGGCTATTCAAACGAACGACATCTTGACTGGGAAGGCCAGGGATGTAGAAAACGACAATAGCAGTCTTTTCGTGGAGCAGTGAGTGCTGTCTGTGTACAAAAGTTCTGAATTCTTCCCTACACGACAATACCACGAGTTTCTGACCTACAAAGAAGTCTTCCAATGGCTATTATTCATTGTTACAAACAACATAGACGAAAAAACGAAAACAGCTTCTGCTCTTACACAGTTTCAGGCATACGTCAGAAAGTAATTTATTATATATGTACAAAGAATTACTCCTGACCAACAGAATTTGGCAAATAAAATTACTGACAATTTGACCTCATGGTTGCGCGATTTTTATTTACTCGTTGTGAAGAATCACAAAGTCGCATGCTCGTACCTCGCTTGTTCTCTTGTGACTCTTCACGGTATCAAATACGAAGTAAATAATGCAATCTCAAATGCACAAAAATAAACAATGAAAAGCATTCTGCGGTCCATATATATTTTTTTGTTAAGTTCACCGTCTTTTCCCAGTCAGTCTTTTGTATTACGTCACTTGGTGATTGCATCCGTCCGCAACACCAAGAAACTATCCAAAAAGTGAAAAAGTAAAAAGTGACAATTTGTGGCATTGCACCATTTAATTTACTTAAGTAAATATAAGGGAACTTATCATAAACAACTTTCAACGACTTTTACCATATTAGATCTCCACCTAATCAGAGTACTTATAGGGTTGTTTAACTTTTACCATGAACATCACTCTATAGATCACAAAACACGGGTTGCATTTGTTCAATTTTATATGTCAAAGGTAGGTTTAGTCTCATTATGTTATTTTCTTTCATCCTAATTTTGTGCTCATAAAGTGCTTAACAGCTAGCTTTCAGGGACTTGAGCTTTGCATGTTAATTGTTTAGATCAGTCATCATTGAGGTTATTAATTGGATAAGATTAAACAACATTTCCTTTTAGCAGGTAGAGAAATTAAGCAACATGAATCACGACAGTAATAAATCAGAAACCTTAATCGTCATTAGGTTTAATAAACAACTTAGTGGTGAGTTTTACGTTAGAATTAGGGTTTACCTGGTAACAAAAACACTGTATGAGAATATTTTAAGATGTAGGACCACTAAGTGAAAGAAGGCTTATCAAGACATTATAAAAAACTGTTTGGAAACTGAATTAATGCGGTACTTGTTTATAAGGTTATCAAATGACGCACAGTAAGGTTAGTACAATTATTGTTCCGTTAACAGGTGAAGGTTTCTTATATTTTCTAAAGGTTAGTAACTGACAAATGTAACACAAGAAGCGTAAGAATCAGAAGGGATAAGAGAAAAGGCAAGCAGGTATTGCTGTAGCTGTGCTATTGGTTAAGTTCATTATTCACGAACGAATGCTGCACGAACGGTACTTGTTTATGAGGTTATCAAATGACGCACAGTGAGGTAAGTACAATTATTGTTCCGTTAAAAGGTGAAGGTTTCTTATAATTAATAAAGGTTAGTAACTGACAAATGTAACACAAGAAGTGTAAGAATTAGAAGGAATAAGAGAAAAGGCAACCAGGTATTGCTGTAGTTGTTCTGTTGGTTAAGTTCATTATTCACGAACGAATGCTGCAAAGGTTAAATCCCACAGACAGTGAATACCCTCTCGAGTGAAGAGTGAAGGAACTGTTAGGTATTAGAAATTTCGTGATAAAGTTATGGATGTGCCCTAAACATGCGACTGGCCCCACATTTTTAAATAAAAACTGCAGTGAAAGGTTTCAGTTTTGCTTTTTGTGCAGATATCTTCGATCTCGACAAATTCTGGCACTTGAGAAGGTGTTCATGGACCGTACAAGCTGTTTAAGGGGCTGTGTCACGGCTGTATGGTTCATTTTATTAATAATGCCCATTACGACTAGAAATGGAGCTTAAGAATTTACTTGTTTCCCAAGGATTACATTTTACGTCACAAAAACCAAATGAAGCCTGAAAAACTGTAAGGCTACTTAAGTCTTCAAAAGCCACAACTGCAATCGGTTTCAATCTTCTTCAGATTTTGTCCATCCGTGCCTCCTTTTGTATTTAATCTGTTATTTATACCTTCTTTTCATATTTTGGGCAGTAGTTACTTTTATGTTACACTCAGTTATGGTAGCATTTCCCACTGTTTTAATTTTGATAAATTTTGTGACACAGATCCTTTAAAGAGCTTCACATTCAAATTGAAAAAAAACTGAGTCTTACCTTTGTGACACTCGAATCGTTGACTGCTATGCCTGGTGTTTGCGCAGGGTTTGGAGTGAACGTCACCATAGGGGTTGCATCTGGTCTTTCCTGGTCATAACCTTTATTCTCATTGCCATAGTACGTTTTGCCATTAGAATAATTTCTGTCACCAGTCCCACCACGCCTAACAACCAAATAAGGATACAGGCATGTTGTTATGCGACATATCCTCGTATATTTAACTGAAACTTCACCTCAGTTTTCTTTTC